ACCCTTTTCCCGAACACCTTTGTATATATATATTGCACTTGTGGGAATCACTGTAAATAAATCCACTCTTGTTTGAAGGAACTAGTGGTCTGCGCCTGAGTCCGCTTCTCTAGCCTTGACATAAGTAACTTAAAAACAGCCCAAAGCTCTGAAAATCCCATGAAACATACATAAACATTAAACAAAAAGATAATGTGCAAATAGGTAAGTAAAAGTGGCCTCTGTCCAAGAAACCAAACAGGGCTTCAAATTAAATTTCACAAATTGTTTCCAGTGTAAAATAACTATGAAAGGTTTACAGAACATTTAATGAATGCATCTGCTCGTGCTGTACAGCCAGACTTGCTCTCTTCTTTGACAGGATAATTCGTCTCATTCAAATGTGTGTTCCTGCATCCCCAGCTGCCTCTGCTTCCAGTTACTTGCTTTATGAGAGGCCTCGCTGCTCCAAGCGCTTCACTGGTCACAGTGCTTTATTCAATACCAGCTGTAAAGTGTGATCAGTACAGTAGACAGGCTGTATTTTTCTTGCACTATATCGGAGCCATTGTCACGAACGAATGCAATTTTTTCTTGGAGGAATCTCAAAGTTTTCCGCAGTCTGCTCAATCCAAACAGCAATATTTGGCCCACTGTGTCATTCTTCTAATGGCATGGTTGTGAGGCAGAAGCTCATGAGCTCCCAGTCATCACTTATAAAGTGACAAGTGATGCTGAGATATGTAACTGTCTGACAACACTCTTCCAGGTGTCAGCTATCAGGGCAATCTTGTTCTCTAATCTTACCAAGAACGACTTCATACTTTACGTCCATGAGCTTTGTAAAGTGAGGTGATCAGCAACACAGGGGCACCACAAGAGACCGTCCTCTCCCCCTTCCCCTTCACCCTCTGCACCACAGACCTCAGCCCCTGCACAGAGACCTCCATCTTCAGAGGTTTTCTGATGAGTCTGCGGTGGTTGGCTGCATCAGTGAGGGTGATGAGATGGAGTACCGGGCTGTGGTCGACTCCTTTGTCAGGTGGTGCGAGCAGCTCAACGTGACAAAGATCAAAGAACTGATTGTGGACTTTAGGAGGACCAGGAAACCTGTGGCCTCTGTTTCAATCCAGGGTGTCGATGTGGAGGACTATAAATACCTCAGAGTACACAGAGATAACAAACTGGACTGGACTGAGAGAGAGTCCAGACCTCAGCCTGACTGGGATGTTGTGTTGGGACCAGGGTTTTAATAGTTTTGCAATTTTCATTATTAATATATTATATATATTATATATTATATATAATATATTATTTCATTTCATTATTTCATTATTATCAAGAGGCGGGCTGCTGCATTTTGGACTGTTTGCAGTCTAAGAAGAAGAGAAGAGTGAAGACCATAGTACAAGGAGTTACAATAATCCAACCTGGAGGTCACAAAAGCGTGAATAAGCTTCTCCAGGTCCTCATGCGGAACATAATGCCTAGCCTTAGAGATAAGGCGCAGTTGGTGGAAGCTAGATCTCACTACA